AATCATTCTATCACCAAATAAAAATTAAATTTGATTAAATTTTGTAATTAATATTGCTAAGAATTAATGATATCCCTATAAATCAAAATCTTAACTTGGCCACACTACAAATGTCTACACAACAATGACTGATGTGACTCCGCATAACTTTTTTTTGGGGGGGGTGGGTATTGCCTCCGCATAATAATCTTCGTATTTTTTTCAAATCTTTAACAAAGTTAATGTTTTACACCCCAAGACAACAGAACTGATTGGAATCTCTAAATAATAGAGCACTAATAGTTCTAATGAGATAAAAAAATAAAATAAAAATTAAAAATAACAAGAGAAACACCCATCACATAATGGAGGGAGCCAACTCATTAGTGCTCCCCTAGTGCTCTCAACTATTTTTGCCAAAACAATTATTATAGATCCTTATGAACCCTACTTTCCTAAACCAATTTTTTTTTAAGACAAGACCAATGTTGAGCTGGGCATTGAGCAGCATTTGAGCCTACACAGAGTGTGAAAGTTTGGGCCTAATATATAAACTTCGTGATACAAAGGAATGGGCTTTACTAGAGGTGAGTGAACATAAAAAAAAATTAAATTGATGAGTTAGTCTAGTTAGGGTGGGTATCGACTGGGTTGGGCCAGCCCAAGTTAGAAAAAATAAGACTTATGCTCAAGCCTTCTGAGTATGACCTGGCTCGACTTTGGGCTTAAAAACAAAATGTTTAAATTTCAAATCTATTCAATTAACTCATATATTATATTAAAAAATAAAATTTATAAAATTAAACAATAATAAATCTATAATTTAATTGACACAAACATTTACTTCTTATAAGTTCAAGCTTGAAGAGTATATTTTTCTCTTAAATATTTTTTTAATTGAAGCAAAAATAAAACTAAATACATTATATATTTACTATGATATATATATATATATATAGTGGCCATTTGGGAAGAGGGGGGGTAAAAACAGCATGAAAAAAAAAAAAAAGCTTGTTTTGAGAAGTTGGTGTTTAGTCACTTTTTTTGGTTTGTAGCAAAAGCTAAAAGTTGGCTTTTTTGAATTTTTTTTTTTTTTTCATTTGGGAAGTTAGTTTTTAGCTAATGGTGAAATTACAATTATACCCCTCAAGGGTCAAAATGTGTTACATATGTCATGTTGTAAATATCTTAAACTAAATGGAGATAGTTTGGTCATTTTATTATGATTTGACATCATAAACAAATATTAATTAAAAAAGTCAAAAGCTACTTTTTACAAATTTTTCAAATTATTTGTCTAAAAACGCTAAAAACTTAGTTAAAAGCCAAAAAATTATTTTTTATCATCTTTCCAAAGCAGCAAAACGCAACAAACCATTTGGGAAGTGGTGTAAAATGCAACTTGTGAATTTACATAACTACCTTTCATGTTCACAAAAAATTGTTCAAACACACACAATAGGTAAAAAAGTAAATTTTCTAAGTTGGGTAAAAGTATTGTGATCATTTTAATGTGATGTGAAACCATAAACAAATATTAAATCAAAAAGTTAAAAATTAACTTTTTATCAACTTTTCAAATCACTTTTCAAAAAAATTAAAAAGCTTAACAAAAAATTAAAAATTAACTTTTTATTAATTTTTCAAAACATCCTTATAATACATCTACCATATAATATATAATGATAGGGAGACCAGGTCAAATAAATAACTATTTCTAAATTTGATTAATTTAGTAAACGGGTTTAAAAAATTTAAAAACTTATGAATTAACATATAATATATAATATATAAATCTCAAGCCAATTTTATGAATTAAAATATAAATCTCAAAAAATACATTGCGTGGATCAGCGGGCCGACTAGTCTAAGTCATTTTCAATCATTAGTCTATTCATAACTAACTTGCTCTCTCTCTCTCTCACCCTCTGATTGGAGAAAAGATATGAGACAATGTGTTAATGAGTAGATTTTGGGATTATTTTGGATGTACTAAATAAGTATATTTTTTGAATTTTTATGAAATATGGGTTGGGTATAAGTTAGGTTTGAAGTGATATGATAAAGAGATGATGTGACTTAAATAAGATGATGTGACTTAAATAGAATAGTAACTTTTTGAATTTTTTTAAGGATGCCAAACTTGGCCTTATTATTATATCATAAAGTCTTATAATAATTAATGATATTTTTTTTTTAAATTATTAAAAGAATATTATTAATTGTTAATTTTTATTGACAGTTTAAAAATTATCAGAAAAAATGTCACTAATTATAAGTTTTAGAGACAGTTAAAAAAATTATTAAAAAATCACTAATTTTCAACTTTCAGCGATAGTTTAAAAAATTTATTATAAAAAAAGTTATTAATTATAAATTTTAACGACAATTTATAAAAATTGTTGACAAAAAAAGTCACTAATTATCAATTTTTAGCAACATATGTAAAAAATTGTTGCAAAAAAATTATTTTTAGTGATGATTTTATTAAGACTTATTTTCAATAAGATTTGATGGGAATTAAGTCTAATTTTAACACCTATTGATAGTTTACTCAAAAAATTTGAAGTAACAGATATAACAAGTAATCAAACTTAATGTAATTTATTCTTTTATTTATTATTTATTATGTGATAAAAAAATTAGACCAAATAATATGATAAAACACGCAATACTTCATATCAAATACAAAATAACTTATGGACTCGTACATTTACTACATACCCAATAACTACTGAAATCAGTTCGGAAAAAAAAAAACAAAAAACTAGTGAAATGACACACATGTAATGTATCTTTTCCGTAAAATACTTCCTCCTTTGACTGAGCAACCCCTTGGAAACATTCTATCCAAAGCCAAAGCCACCATTAAAAGGGGCCAGCCATTACATTATCGCCATGTGTAATCAAATGCATAAGTTGAGGTATACATTGTTAGAGGTAATAACAGTATTCACAAACTTATAAATTTCACACTTTGTGATGTCTCAATATTTTCATTTAATTTTCTAATCTTGCTCATTAATTAAGAAGTATCTAAAAGGAAAGGAAGATAGATAGAAATGGCAAACCAAGGTAATAGGGGTCTCAGCTACAAGACTGATGAAACTGGAGGCCAAGCTCAGGTTTTACATCTCTCTCTCTCTCTCTCTATGTATATATATTTGGCATACAATGGTAATAGAATATGGGTTAGGCTTTCCCCACCGGAGGGTGTTGTTAGTGTTCGTGGAGCCACTATAAGCCTACTTTAATTATAAATTTATAAACTGAGACCACTGATTTATAAATCAAAAATTTTACCAAACAAGTTTTTATTTGAGTTTTTAAAATTTTTGTAAATATAAACAGAAAACTGAAAACATAAGTGTTACCAAACGACACCTTAACAAAAAACTAAAAATTAACTTCTTACCAATTTTCCAAAACATCCCTATAATACATCTACCATATAATATATAATGATAGGGAGACCAGGTCAAATAAATAACTATTTCTAAATTTGATTAATTTAGGTCAAGTTTGGCAACCTCAATATAATTTATATTTTTATCTTTTTATTTTTTTTTCGTCACGTCACCTCTTTATTTTTTTACATATCTTTTTATAAAAAGACAAAAAATATATTTATTTTGGTCATTCTAAACAATCCTTTAGTAAACGGGTTTAAAAAATTTAAAAACTTATGAATTAACATATACTCCCTTCGTCCCAAAATATTGGTCCCTTTTGGGGAATTCAACTTTTTTTGGTAGTACACTTATTGCATTTGAAAAAAGTTAATTTTCCAAAATTACCCTTTTGATAGTACATTTTTTGGGAATATCAATGTCATAATTGTACTTTTTAAATTGTTTATTAATTTAAAAGAATGGCAAAATAGGAAATTTACATTATTTTTGTACTTGATTTATAAAGAGGGACTAATATTTTGAGACAATGAAAAATGGAATAAGGGACTAATATTTTGGGACGGAGGGAGTAATATATAATATATAAATCTCAAGCCAATTTTATGAATTAAAATATAAAATCTCAAAAAATACATTGCGTGCATCAGCGGGCCCACTAGTCTAGTCATTTTCAATCATTAGTCTATTCATAACTAACTTGCTCTCTCTCTCCCACTCACCCTCTGATTGGAGAAAAGATTTGAGACAATGTGTTACTGAGTAGATTTATTATTATCTCATAAAAGTCTTATAATAAGTAATGATATTTTTTTAAAAATTATTAAAAGAATATTATTAATTGTTAATTTTTATTAACAGTTTAAAAATTATCAAAAAAAATATTACTAATTATAAATTTTAATGACTGTTAAAAAAATTATTAAAAAATTATTAATTTTTAACTTTCAGCGATAGTTTAAAAAATTTATTATAAAAAAAGTCACTAATTATAAATTTTAATGACAATTTATAAAATCGTTGATAAAAAAAGTCACTAATTATCAATTTTTAGCAACATATGTAAAAAATTGTTATAAAAAAATTATTTTTAGTGATGATTTTGTTAAAACTTATTTTTAATAAGATTTGATGGGAATTAAGTCTAATTTTAACACCTATTGATAATTTACTCAAAAAAATTTTAAGTAACATATATGACAAGTAATCAAACTTGATGTAATTTATTCTTTTATTTATTATTTATTATGTGATAAAAAAATTAGACCAAATAATATGATAAAACACGCAATACTTCATATCAAATACAAAATAACTTATGGACTCGTACATTTACTACATACCCAATAACTACTGAAATCAGTTCGGAAAAAAAAAAACAAAAAACTAGTGAAATGACACACATGTAATGTATCTTTTCCGTAAAATACTTCCTCCTTTGACTGAGCAACCCCTTGGAAACATTCTATCCAAAGCCAAAGCCACCATTAAAAGGGGCCAGCCATTACATTATCGCCATGTGTAATCAAATGCATAAGTTGAGGTATACATTGTTAGAGGTAATAACAGCATTCACAAACTTATAAATTTCACACTTTGTGATGTCTCAATATTTTCATTTAATTTTCTAATCTTGCTCATTAATTAAGAAGTATCTAAAAGGAAAGGAAGATAGATAGAAATGGCAAACCAAGGTAATAGGGGTCTCAGCTACAAGACTGATGAAACTGGAGGCCAAGCTCAGGTTTTACATCTCTCTCTCTCTCTCTCTATGTATATATATTTGGCATACAATGGTAATAGAATATGGGTTAGGCTTTCCCCACCGGAGGGTGTTGTTAGTGTTCGTGGAGCCACTATAAGCCTACTTTAATTATCTAAACGGTTTATTTTATAAAATTCTTCATATATATAATTTATATAAAAAAAAAAAAATTGATCCAATCATCATATCATTTTTATTTTATTGCATTTATTATCAAAAAAAAAAAAAAAGTAGTTCATTTTAAAAAATACACTCATTGTATTTTTTTCTTTGTCTTTAGTGGACTTATTTTTCTTCTAAATTGTTATTATTATTTATTTTTTTAGTCCCTTTAGTTGAGTAGGACCTAAAAACATAAAGCTTATTAAAAATTTAAAACAAAAAAAAAATTCAAGAAAAACAAAAGAAGAAAACCAATAAAAAAATAATTTAATTAATTAATTAATCTCTCAAAAATAGCTAAAATGGGTAAACAAGTAATTTTCGTCTCACATGTTCTTCTCCCAAACTCTGATCAACGAACTTATAACCAGTTTTTAAATTTTTTTAATTTATTCAAAGTAATTATAAGATAGGGGAAAGATTAAAATTCTATTAAATAAAATAATAGTAGTGTTAAAAAATTGATGTCCTTATAACGAAAAGTAGAATAAAATACAGCCACACTTTTTTTACAACATTGTTTTGCCCTCTATTCACAAATATTATGCGAAAAAAATTCATAATGAGCAACCAATAACAAAGATTGGATAAATTACATACATTTCTTGAAATTTGCTTAAAATATAATTATTTCTTGTGATTCTGAAAGTTACATCTCACCCTTTAAAATTTGTGATTTCATAACAAATGACTCTCTTTTTTAATAAATTATCAAGTCAATTGACAGTTTTTAATGATATCAGAAATTTATATCAGTTAATAATTCAGATAATTTTATTATTATATATGAGAGCAGTTAGAATTATTTTTATTTTTTAATTAATTCTGTTAAATAAAAAATTCTAATAAAGAGGTATTTATAATTTTTTAAATTACAGGAAACAATCAATATTTTAAATAAATCTGAAGAGATGTATTTATAATTTATTCTAAAAAATATTACAAAAAAAATGTATGACGGTAATATTACTCAAATATTTATGTACTTTGAAATTTACCCTAGTTTTTACATTTTCTTTGTATTCTCTAACTCTATATATTCTTTTTCTCACTGCCTTTACAGATGATGCATGATGACTATATAGACCAACTTCACCAGGTGATATATAATCATATATATATATATATGCGCAGATATGAACTTTCATTGTTGATTTTGGAAAGGAAAATTTTATTTATATATAAAATTCATATAAAAAATTTAATAAGAATAATGTAACGATGTCATTTTAACTAAATTCATTTTTAAAAGTATTTTGTTTTGAAGTAATAAATTCACACTGAATCATGTTATTATATATAAAAATTACATATATATATAAATTTTTTATTTATATAATATTACTCTCTCGGAAAAAGGATTGAGAACCAATTCATGTGATTTACATAAATGCGTCGGTGTTTTCTTTTATACTCTTTTATATTCTCAATACTTTCATTCGTTTTCTCTCTTGTTTCAGAGCTCCTCAAGCCAAGGCATCAACCTCCAACAGGTAATCTTAAAAAAATATGAGTAATATCCCAAATTCATGAAATTCACTCATAATTTTATTCAAAAATTTCAATATGTGATTTTAATTTATTCTATAGATAGCCACACTCAATCAATCTCTGTCATACATTACAATTCTAGATAACTAGCCTATCACCCGTACTATGCACGAGATAATTATACATATTTATATTTGTTTTAAAAAATTTTAATATATGAATTATGTTTTTTAAGATTTTTTATATAAATAATTTAACAATCTTATCACTAACCATAGTGTATGAGAGAAGTTGAAAAGGGTACTGCAGTAACTATACACGAATTGTATCTATAATTATTTATATGAGAGGATTTTAAATGCTTATCAGGAGATTTTGACCAAATCAATAAATGCAGGCATGTGGAAAGACATGTGGATTAAAAAAAAGTTAATAAATGTTGATTAGTGGATTTTGACCAAATCAATAAATGTAGACATGTGGATTAAAAAAAGTTAATAAATGCTGATCAGAGAATTTTGACCAAATCAATAAATACTGAGTTTTTTTTTAAAAAATAAAAAATAAAAAATTTAGAAAATTCACAATAGTATATTGAAACTCCCACAGACCTTAGGGGTTAAAAACTTCATTTTACTTAATATATAGTATAGATTAATAATCTGGACACTAAATCTAGACACCTAAACTTGCTGAAAAATGATTCATTAAAATGGAAGGGACTGCAATGTGCACCCAAAAGGGTACATATAATATGTCCTTGATTTTTTCATAAAATTTTACAAAATTTTGTTATATAAATCACACAATATCATAAAAATAAATAAATAAATCAGTGTCATAACTTTATCATTCGTAGTTTTAAGGTGCACATCATAAATTTATTATTCATAATTTTATCACAAAATGCATAAACATTCTTAACTTTTATACCAAAAATAATTTTAATAATAATAATTTTTTTTGCCATATACACATTTTCAGGAGTGCATGCTTTACATGCAAATTGACTATGTACTACTACAAATTAACTATCTGGTATTGTTAATTTTTGAAGGGGCCATTGGGTTTTTTTTTTTTTTAATTTTCAAAAATAAGAAAAATAGAAATTGACAAGGAAATTTTATTTCACAAAGTATTTCTAAAAACTAATTTTCAGAAATTTTCTTAAAATACTCCTTTTTTCGAAATGTTTTTAAATAAAAAAAATATATATATATATTTTGCACAAAATAAGAACCACTACAAGAAAAAGCATCTTTGGCGACTAAAAATGCACCTTTGGTCGCTGAAAGTATAGGTTTTGGCGACTAAAAAAGCATTAGTAGCCAAAAGTGAGGATTTTTTGCAACTAAAAAAATTTAGTAGCCAAAAGTATAGGTTTTGGAGACTAAAAATCTGTTTGGTCGCCGATATATGGCTTTTATCGACTAAAAAAATTTTAGTAGCCAAAAGTAAGATTTTTTGGAGACTAAAAAAAATTTAGTAGCCAAAAGTGAGGCATTGAGCGACTAAAAAGATGTTTTAATTGTTAAGTAGCCAAAAGTGAGGCATTAGCCAATGTTTTAATTGTTTTGTTTCAAAAAACACGAAAAACAACATATAAAAAATGAAAATGGCACTAAAAAGTTTTTGAACTACACAACTAACAAAAATGTCTGGAATCGTCACTGGAAATACTGTAAATCTACTACATACACAAAATTATTAAATCATATAAAACAAATATACAGGTTAACATAATGGGCTCTCCTTCCCTATCTTTGATTCTATTACATTCTATCTTGTAGTATCACATTCTGTTTTGTGATTTTTGAAAATATTTCTTATGAAAATAATTAGAATACTAGCAAATGAGAACATCTTTGCCTATTTACAGACTAAAGAAAGTGTCGTGAACATGGCACAAGGAGCGGCACATGGAGCGGCAAACATGGCGAAAGGGGCAGCAACGGAAGCAGCCAACATGGCACAAGGGGCAACTACAGCGGTGAAGAACACTCTAGGGATGAGCAACACTGACCCTAATCGTCACCCAAGCAATCCAAATAGGAGGATTTGAAAAAATGTCTTAGACTCCTAAAAAGATTATCATAATTTGACTCATAATGACGTGGTACGATAGATGTCAATTTTTTATTTATCATACACTCAATCGTCTATGACCTAACTCTCTTACCACATCATTATGAGTGCATTTAAGAATTTAAATTGTGAGTCTAATATTTCTTTTTGTTGTTTGGTGTCTTTCTCTTTTGAGTTGGTCTTTGTTTGTGTCATTGTGAAAGCTTGTTGTGGGCATTAGATGCCTTTATTTTTGACGAGTTTTTTCTCTTATTATTGTCATTTGATTACTTATATCTATTGAAATTCTCTGCTATGTTCTAAGAGGGTGTCTAGTCCCTCACATTGCTTCCCCTATTTTGTCAATATATTAAGAATCATAAAGTTAACAAACATGTACATGACTAATGCCCTCAAATGTAGTGTGCATGCCAATTCCAAAGGGTTAACTGAGTATCAATTTGACATGTGATAAGCGCTTTAAGAAATGTACGTCTCAAGTTCAAATCTCATGAAGTGTGTAATTTCCTGAAATTACCTTAATACTTGTGCTCAATGATTACTTAATATCTATAGGATTGAAGGACTTCCTGTACTCGGGAACCAGTCGAAAACAAAATCGTAGATACCTATGATGTTACCAAAAAGATTATAATGATACCCCTCTGTTTGGCACATTTTATTTTTCCATTATCAAACTAATTATCATTTCAATACCTAATTTGTCTAGGGCCAAAATGAAGGATTATACAGTAAATCACACCAAAAAATAGGAGTAATTTTATTGAGTGTTGTTATTAGGACCTCATTTATTATTTTGGACCCTCCATTTCTTTGGATCCCCACTTATAAATTACAAAACCCTTGAAATTTTTTTTCTCTATCTAAATAATATCAAAATTATTCTTGTAAAAACATTCCACGCATTCAAATGCATACCCCCACACCCCAAAAAGCTTCTCTTCCAAAAACTCACGAAAGTGATTACTACTCTACATATTTTTTCATGATCTGAGAAAATAAATGTAGGTTTTTTTGTTATTAATTCAAAATTTCGCTTTCGTGGATTATGTGATCTCCACGAGTTTCGATTATCTGTTCTCGAACGAATAAGAAATGTTCGGTTATCTGTTCCCAAACAAATGAACAATATTCAGGTTTGTGTTCTCGAATTTTGGACATATGTTCGAGAGTTCAATTCAGAAAAAATGACAAATAGTTTTTATAATTTTTTCATTTTTTTCAATAAACTTACCCTTACAAGACTAATTTCCTCTAAGATAAGAATGCCATCAAAGCTATGAATCTCCTCTGGACTTTTATTGTTGTACACCTCTCATCTCTTGGAGTTGTGGTTGCCGAAAAACTTCTCCTCATTGTCATTGCCGAAGAAGTGTAGGTAATCAAATAGTTGCCACCGTTATCGTTGGAATATTACCGCTAAAGGGTTTTCAAGATTTTGAGGGTGGGTATGTTTTGAAGGTGAGATTTTGGGAAGATGGATGGGTGGTGATGGAGGTAGGTGCTCTCATAAACCCTAATCCATAATGTAGTGAGTATGCGAGCTTAATTGTAAAATGACATGTCCCAAAATTATTGATATCATTTTTAGTAATTTCATTAGAGGTTATTATTGTAATAAAAAAATTAAAAAATAGGGAGTCCAAAATAATTGAAGGGGTGCTAATAGTATCACTCTAAAATATTTATCATTAGTTTAGATAATGCATCATATTACAATCAGACTGTAGTGCATTTGAAATCAACTTTACAATCACTTATTGATAGTGATTTATTTCATATTCGTTATTGTGCTCATATTTTAAACAAGTTATGCATGTATATGACATTTCTGTACAGGTAATAAAATATGTGGTTCTTACTATTATATATTCTCCTAATCGAATTTCAGAATATAGAAAAATTTGTCAACGAGAAGGTATGTAATTTAAAAAATTAATTTTAGATGTAGGCACCTGGTGGAATTCAACGTATAATATGTTAAAGAGAGCTTGTAAACAAAGAAAAGTAATAGATTTATTTTTTTGCAACAAGAGCAATAGAAGGAGTATTAACTCTCACAGAAGCTACTTGGCGCTATGTAAACTTATATAAAGATTTTCTACAAACTTTTCATACTACAACAAAATTATTTTATTATATATATATATACCTCACCATTTGTTTTATATATATTAGCATAAATAATAAAAAAATTCACAAAATATATGGGTAGTGAATATTATGTTATCATTATTACTGCAACGAAAAAGAAAATATTTTGATCCATTGCCTCATCTTTTATGTTTAGTCATCGTAGTTGATCCTAATTGCAAAGACACTGGTATATACAAGAATTTTTATAACTTATTTTCGCTGATGAAAACTAATTTGATCCTATTATGCAAACATGTAAAAAGTATTTGAAGAGTATAACGAAGTTGTACCTGCAAATAAACCTATACACGACCTCATCTTGAGGTAAAAGATTAAGTATTTTTTTCAATAATAAAAATTAGAAGAATATCTCAAAATGCAACCGTAAGTAGTTATATTATTTGGATAACCCACATGTGGATAATGAAGATGACTTTGATATTTTAGATTAGTGGAAACAAAATGAAACTATGTGGCATGTGCTTTCACATATGGTCCGTGATATACTAACCGTTTCTATTTCTAGTGGCTTCTGAAACAGTTTTTAGTGCAGGTGGATGGGTGTTGTGTGATTACTGCAGCAGACTTTCACCCGACATGGTTGATGCACTTATGATATTGAGAGATCATATGTATGCGCTTATAAGAAGACAAGATTGTAGTGAAAATTATAGAATTCAAGGCAATTTAGATGATATATTGGGCTCCTTGAGGTGGAGTATAATGCAAATTATTGATAAGTTATTAGGTGCTAACCCAGTTAGAATATACTTGACCTATAGTAATACAATTGTTCTACCATCATCAATAATCTAAATTTATTTTATGTAATAATATAAATTTTAGTAATATTTTATTTCATTTTGATATAAAAATTATCCATTAAATGTTATCTATTTAATTTGATATTGTAATATTTCATTTTATTTTGATATATATAAAATTATTCATTTCATTTCATTTCATTTTGTTTCGAGAAGACTATGTACACAACTTATAAATAAGCAAATGACATAACTTCATATTTTTTAAGTAATAATTACCAAACATAATATAATAACCAAATATCTCACTAATCATAACTAAAATAATGTCATAACTTTAAAAGAAAACTAGTTATAACTAAAGTACAAAATGACATAATTTAATACTTAATTAGTCATAACTAAAAAAAACAAGTCATAATTAAACATCACACAAGCCATACCAAATAACTTTCATAAATAAAAAATAACTAAAATAATATCATAACAAAATAATAAAGTTACATAATTTCATATTTTGTTAGTCATAACTAAAAAAAATAATTCATACATAACTATTGCTAAATACCACTGCATGAAATACAACCAAATATCTCATTAATCTTAACTAAAATATTATAATACAAAATTTGTTTTGTTTTTTAATCCCTCATAAATAATCTATATATATAATATATATCAATTAATTTTTTCAAAAAAAAAGGCTCGCCAAGCCCGGCCTGTGGCCCTAATTTGAGTTGGCCTGGGCTTAATTTTCTAGTCTGTGGACTGGGCTAGCCCGAATTATGGCTGGAGTTCACAAGGCCCGACGATGGGCTAGCCCAAGCCCAGACCCAGACGAATTGGGCCAGATCGGGCCAACTTTACATCCCTACTTATAATGTAAGGAGTGAGCAAATTAACAAGCTCAGCATAATCTGTATAAATATACGTATATGATGCGAGATATGTCAAACGGTTCAATTATAACTAAAAGAATAAAAAAAAACAAATCTAGAATCGGCCCTGAGTTAAGGCCAGTAAGGTCGGCAGTGCCTTTGCTCCCAAAATATGACTTTCAAATTTGTTAATTCTATATTATATAAAAATCTCAAATAGGTTCAATCTTTTTTTATTGCTTGAGACCTAGTTTAAGAGGTCCCAACAAAAATCTCTTCAGCCCAATTAATATATAATTATTATTAGGCTTAATTAAAAGTTTATATATTCAATCCAAATAAATTGAAATATATATATATATATA